ATTTATATAACCCAATAGAAAGCACATATTTTCTAGAAGCTCAACTTAGTTCTCAAATTCCTCATATTTAAATTTTGGCATTAAAACAAATATATATCTGCATGCCAGGAGAAAGGATTATATGATCAATGGAGGGGGAATGTGGAATAGATCATAAGCAACATAGCTAAAAGTGACCGTATTGAAATAGAACGAAAGATAATCCAGATATTGGTGTTGTCAAATGAATGTTTGTGAAAGCCTTATTATAATATTAGTCTCTGAGACAATAAGATGGCTAGATTTTTAATAGAGATCAATCAATATTTAAGGATAGAAGATAGCATACTACTCACACAAATGGAAAAAATAGTGTTAAAATGTTTGTAACTTGAATTATAAAAAGAGAATAGGAAATATATTTGGAAAAATAATATCAAAGAATTTTTGAAAGTGATAGAATTATTTAATCACTGATTCAAGATGTTCTAGGGTCACTGATCCTGTTTTAGTCCTTATATCTCAGTAGTTGTTCTCTGGCATGGATTAAAGAACTTTACCCCCATGCATTGGCTACTAAGAGGCTAGGAAAATACTCTGGGGAGAATTCCACACTAATTTCTAGGCTTCCCTAGGCCTGGAAAAGCAACCTCCGCGTTGCTGACTGCTGCTGTAAAATGAACTTCAATTTCTCATTCATAAAAATCCCTATGTTTAAATCTCACACCTTCAGACTCTACCTTCCAAGAGTTGTTTTGTAAAAATTATCTGCTGGGAACATATTATACTCATTTTGAAAACGTAATTTTCTGTTCTTGTGCTGTGGGGCAGGTTGCTCAGAAAACACATCAAGTCCCAGTTCTGTACAAATTGAAGAGTCTTTAGTCAGTCAGCTGGCAACTGCCCCCCATAGGACCCATAACTGTCTCTGCAAGGAATAGCCCTGAGCCTAAGCATTTTAGGATATTTAAAGGCAAAAACCACATCTCGGTTGACATAGCTGCAAGCAAGCAGGTACAGAAACTGAATTGGGCAGTTAGCGAAAAAATGCAATGAGTACAATGGTATTTCCCATAGGATTTTCCAGGTTGGCATAGCATCGAGCAAGCAGAAAGTAAGTGGGTCAAAATGACCCTAGTTCAGTACAAGTTAGAGAATGGTTACTAATGTCTAGATAATCAATCTCTGACAAGGTACATGGCCCAAGAAAAATGGAAACCAAAGAGAACAATTTTATATTGTATAAGAATTTCTACTTTGTGTTGCCAAATATGTTTTGCTAGGTAACTATTAATGGGTATAGAGTTGGGGCTTTACCATGGAAGAAACATTTCTTACATGTTGTCAGGTCTCAGGGTAAAATTAGTCTGTTTGGTCATTGCCCATATAGTCTGGCCCATAACACTTGGCCATTGTCTCCTGGTTATTTCAGTAGCCACTAGTTGACCATGTCCCTAGATAGGTCTTTAAATTCATTGACCTGTTCTCATTAATAATCTAGTTCTTCACCTTACATCAACCCTTTACACCTAAAATGCTGTCCTTCCACAACTTGATGTCACCTCATTAGTATCATTTTTTGTCTTACTCTATAATGTCTTATATGTAAAATTTCATTCCCCTATGTCCTTGAAAATTATCCTGCCCCTCACAAGGTATAACAAAAAATCAGTATGTGAGATGGCATCAAATTAATATGCAAAAATTCTTCTTGCAACATCACCAATATTAGTGAATTTCAAAAGTTCATTTCTCAGTCATTACTTTCTGTGAACTTCTCTGCAGCATTTGTTACAGTCCATCAATTCCTCCTCTTTCGTTACTTTTCAGAACCCTATACTTTCTAATTGTCCTCCTATCTCTTTGATTTTTCATCAGGATACTAATTACTTCTAATATCCCAGACCATTTAATACCATATGCCTTTAGGTTGAGTTCTGATATGACTCCTAAATCCAGAGCTGTATCTGTCTAGCTATTTGACCTATTTTTGGATATCTAATGCATATTTCATTAGATATGCATATTTATATGCCTAAAGCCAACATTATGATGTAATGCCCTATTGTTATATATGTTCATTCTGTAGTTTTTACAATTTCAGTTTATTGAAGCTCCATTCTCCTTTCACCTTAAACCAAAATATTGAGTCTTGCTCAACACACTTTTGGTCTCATGCCACAACCAACACATCCCATGTTTTATCTTCAGAATATATCTGGAGTCTTAACAATTGTTACTAGCTTTACCATTATCACCTTTGTCTAACAACACTGGCCTGTAGAAGTTTCTTTAGTCATAAAAGTGTTCTGTATCTGTGCTATTACAACATAGCCTCTAGAAACATATTCTACTTAATCTTTGAAATATGCTAATGCTGATGAAATACCTAATTTAACTTTAATTTAATTTTAAATACCTATATATGCATAATTTCTGCTCTATTGTACAAGGCAGTTCTCTACCTCTATTAAGGGTAACCTTGAGTTTAGTTTAAAACACATCATTACTGATATATTTACATAAAATAAAATTATGTCATTTCAGATGTTCTGGTCAATGATTATTACTTTATTTTGTGTTGAAAATATCAGCATACATAGTTTTATATTTATACCACAATAAGATTTCTCATACTCCTTTGGATTCACTGCCCATTCTTAGCTCAGCTCTAAAAAAACCACAGATCTACTTACATTATATTCATAAATTTGTTTTAATGACATTTCATATAAAATGGAATTCTAGCATACTGACTTTTGTATCTGACTACTTTCACTTAACCTAATGTTTGAGGGTATTCTATGAGGTAGCATAGATCATTAGCTTCTTCTATTTAATTGCTAAATGATATTTCATTGTATGAATGTACCACATTTTTTCTATGCACTGATGGACATTTGTGTTATATCCACATTTTGGGTACTATGAATAATGGTTCTATAAATATTATTCTTTGTTGGTGTATACCTAGAATTTGAATTACTGGGTTTATGTTGAACACTTGGGAAAACTGAATGTTTTGCAAAGTGGTTGCATCATTTTATATTTACAACAGCAATAGTTGGGGTTTCCCATTTTTTCTGTATCCTCACCAATATTTGTTTTGTCTGCTTTATTTATTTATTATAACCATCTTAGTGGGTATAAACTGATAGCTTATTCTAAGATTAGTTTGCATTTCCCTATTAAGAAATGATGTTGAGTATCCATCTGGGTCCTTATTAGTCATGTGTATACCTTCAATTGTGAAATATATTTTTTATCTTTTGTTAATTTTAAAACATATTGCTTATTTTCTTCTATAAGAGACTTTTACTAGATATATATTATGTAATTTTTTCGCTATTTTTTGCTGGTTTGCCTGTCTATTTTTCATTTCACCTTTTCAGTAAGGCATTCCCTGGCCATACTATAACTAGCCACTTAGTACTGACAATACCAGTTGCTTTTCAAAATATTTTTATCCATATTTCACATTTACGTCTAATATAATAGATCTTATTTAGTTAAATAGCTTTCCCATCTATAGTGTAAAGTTATAAAAATAATTTTATCTATTTTTATTGCTTATAAATTTTATTCTAGTCTGTCAATATAATTATTTGTAATTTGAATAAAACAATATTTTTAAAATCATGTAAAATACATATTAGAATAATCATTTTTTCAGTTTTGTATTGTGGAATAATAAATCTGTTATTCTTTCATTAGAGAGTTCTAATAATTTTGTTATTGAATATTACAACTAAAATATATAATATCAAAAGTTTAATCTGTATTATGCATTTAAAGAAAATAAAATCTTAAGGCAATACATAAGGTCATATTATTTATCTATAAAAGGACATCAGTAATCCAATCAACTTTATTAAATTTTTGCTTTTGAACTGTCTTTTCATAAATAGACAGAAATATGTCAATATTAAGTAACTTACACAACACTTATGACCTTTCACCAACTTCAGAAAAATTAGTATAATTGTCTTGCTCTTATTCTGCAGTTAGTCTCCAACTAAATCAATCTTGAGTTTCTTTCCAGCTTCTTAACTACTTAGGTTTAGACCAATCTATTAGAAGGTGTGTGAGATTCTTTGCTGGATCTTAAAGTAATCATATCCCTAATGCTTTTCATACACTAGCTACTTAATATTCTTCACAGAGTAGGCAGAATAACCTTCCACTTTTTGTAAAGAAATGTTTCTTGGTTAAGAATTTTAACTAAGAGAAGAATTGGGCTACAATTAAAGCATGTGTGGAACATCTTTATAATAGTTTAGTTTGTATAAAAAGTACTCTTGAATTGCTAATTTTTATACAGTGGATGTCACATGCATATATTTTAAAATGTACTTTTAAAATTCAAAAAATGAGAAAAAATATTTCCATTTTTTACATTTAGATCTTGAAGAAAGTAAATGAACTTTCTGTTTTAAATTGAATTCTTTGTTCTTATCTCTTGTAAATGTGTGCAAGTCACTTAGACTTTTACTGAATCAGCCTGAACTTCAAAAATGTAGATAACAATCATATCTATTTCATATTTTATTGGGAAAATAAAATGAGCAATATATACTTAGTACATTGTAAATTCTACAGTGTTGAGCAAATTGCCCATTATATACTTGTATCTATGTGTATAGAAAACCATGTATTTTACACAACAAACAGAAAATGTGTGCTGTCCTATTAGTACAATGCACAATACATGTTCCATGGTCAAAAGGTATCAAAATCATGTTTATTATTATAAACAATATAAAATGATGGCTGTATATGTTAAATGTACTTGTAATACAAATTTTAGATATTTATCAATTTTTTTTTGAAATTGACTATTTAATAACATAGCCCAGACCATATGAATTCAAAGATTTAGTGTAAGTGCAATACATAGGAAATGAAACAACAGAAAAAGATCCAAATATTTGATTGGAGCTGCTGTGCAATACACTCATTTCTGTTGTCATTTTCCCATAATATAAGATCCAATTGGATCAATCCTAGTTTTCTTCTCTGGAAAAAAAAATGGATGTCCATTTTGATGGTTCTCTCAATTTTTGCCCAGTTTCCCAGTTTGGCCTTGTTTGCACAGGGTGTACTTCATTTATAATATTTAAAAAAGTTGTTAATAGGTATCACCAATATGTTTGCTACACAAATAATTTGGTTCCTCTGGACACTAGGGAGTGCTGGGTTAAGCTACCAGTTTCCAGGGTGGACCTGTTCCACCCCACTCCCTTTGTTCATGGTGAGGTAGAGGGGATTTCAATGATTTTTGGCTAGTAGTGATCGCTCAAAATGTTCCTTCTACATGGATCCCACTGCAGTTGTGCTTACCCTGGTTTAATATGTTGCCATCTGGAAGTGGAAAGATGCTGTGTTGATTTAAATGGTGACATGACAGGTATGGGCTCTACAAAATGACTATGGAGACTGGGACAGCTTTTTATTCACTATTTGGTTTTCAACTGCTTGCTCTGCTTCAAGAACACTACTGTTAAGTGTGAAAGATGATATATCAAGAACTATGTAATGTTTTGAACAACCAACAATAATAAAAAAAATAATAAAAAAGAACACTACTGTTTCTATTACACTTTATTTTTGTCTCCTTTTCCCCCAGTTGTTGTGAATGGATGAGCTCATATGTTTTTCTACTCCGTCTTTCTCTGTTGCTCTTCCCCCTTCTTCCAACCTGGTCAAGATTGGGGAACTTTGTGCCTCATTAAAAGGATAATAAGTAAATCATGACAATACATTTGAAAACTTAGGTTCAGTTAACAAAGTCAGATTCACAGTGTGGGTTCTGCAATTTTTGTTACATAATATGTTAAATATATATTGTTCATTTCATGGTATACTCTGAAACTTGGTGTTGGCAATGCCAGATTAGTGGGTTTTACAGAGAGAACAATCTTAGTGAAAATTTCAACCTACAAGATGGACATAATCACTGTTTCATACAATTCTCGGGAAGTTTAGAGGCAGGAAGAGATGTCTGCTCTGACTCTTGAGGCCTCATTGGCAGCATCTACCATGCCCTGACTTGGAAGTCTGGGAAGGGGGAACCTATCTAAACTCAGAGTTTATAGAAGGAGGGAAATTACCTAGAATGAGGCAAATCCAACCTGTTATGCATTTTCATAAGGCATGTATTCCTGAGGACAAGGACTTCAGCCTAACTTTAGGTTACTTTGCAGCAAATACCCTATTTGCCTCAGAGAGTGTTGTGACAGCATGGAGCTCCTGTACATTCCCCCTCATGGTAGTTGAGTCATACATTTTCAGAACTGGCTGTTAAAAGGCAAAAGGCAGGCTTTCATGAAATACAAGTTTGCAGAATGCTTAACTCAGTGCCTCTGTAGTGTGTTTCTCCAAAGGGCAGGCCATTCTGAGGCAGTGACCTCTTGCTATTCTGCAACAAACAAACATTCAGAACAGTTCCTGGGGGTGCAGTGTGATTGTTACAAACATGCTATTTGTGACTGGACTGATCAACACCTAACAAGCTGCATTGGAGTGTAAGGAGATACTTACCTGGTAGGGCTAATTGTGGGAGCCTCATAGACAGCTCTTTCCCTATCTGATGTTTTCAAAAATAGAGCAAATAATGTCTTAGCTGTCTCAGTGAGAATTTTAGTCATGATTTTATTCTTATTAAGAGAAATAGTGTTGAACAATGAAACCCTCACCATGAGGCTATTGTGAGCTGATAGTCAAGGAGAGGTGGGTGACCTGCATTGCCAGCCTCTCTGACTAACGGAGGAAACTATTTTCCCTAAATAAAGTTAGGTTACCTTGACTGAAGTGTGTGTGTGTGTGTGTGTGTGTGTGTGATGCACATGTGATTCAGCAACTCAACCTAGGGGTGCTTAAACACTGAGCCGCACCTACAGTCCTTTTTATTTCTATTTTTTTTTTTGAGACAGGGTCTTACTAAGTTGCTAAGGCTGACTTTGACTTTTTGATGCTCCTGCCTCAGAATCTCAAGTCACTTGGATTATAGGCCTGTACCACCACACCCAGCCTGGAATTAGTCTTCATAACTTTGTGCTTTGTATTTTTATATCTATATGGAATCAGTGATATGGCTCACTCTAGTCACTGTCTCCACTTTGGAACATTCTTATTTTCTTCCCAATTTTTATAAAACAATAAAATATGAACATCTACTATTATAGTGTGGACCTAGAATGTCTTCCAAAGGTTCATGTGTTGAAGGATTGGTCCCCAGATTGTGGTTCTAATGGGAGGTGGTAGAAATTTTAGGAGGTGGAACTTAGTTAAAGATTATAGACTTCCAGCTTGCACCTCTAAACTTTTCACAATTTACCCTATCAACCAGTTCCAAAGGCTTTTGAACACCATGCTCATGTTAATCAAAGCAGTGACCCAATTCTTGTTCTGTTTTAGTCAGTTTTTTTTTTTTTATTACCGTGACCCAAATATCTGGCAAGAATATCTTAGAGGAGGAGTTTATTTGGGGCTTATGATTTCAGAAGTCTCAGTCCACAGATTGCTGTCTCCACTGTCCTGGGCCAAATGTGAGACAGCACCTCATGGGAGAAGGGACCAGTTGAGGAAAGTTGCTCATCTCATGTGAGTAATCTCACGTGATGTCAGGAAACAGAGAGGGAGAGAGAAGAAGAGGCCATAGGAAAAATATACCCTTCCAGGGCATGTCCCCAGTGACCCACCTCCTCCTGCTGTGCCCCACCTGCCTAAGGTTAGCACATAGTCAGTCCATCTGTATGAACTGATGAAGTTACAGGCCTCACAATTAAACATGTTTAGCTCTGAATGTTCCTGCATAAGAGAATTTTTGGGGGAAATTCATATCCAAACCATAACAGTTGCTCTCTAATTGTCCAGTTCCTGGCTTTAGAGTGGTTGAACAAAGAAAGGTAATATTCCAGACTGCAGAAACCTGATTTTTAAAAAAGGTAGATAGGAATGTGGATTTAGGACAAATTGGTTTTCATATCAAAGCCATGATCACAGGCAAATTTTTGCTCATTCTAGGAATTAAAACAATCTTGTGAAGGGCATTTGTTTCCTTAGAATACAATATTTCAATAGCAAACTGAAACTATCAATCTAATAGTTGTAGAACATTTTGATTTTATTCTTCATTCTTCAAATGACTAATGATTTAAACATTTCATGTATTTTTTTGCATTCATACATGTTATTTAGTGGAGTCTATTCAAACATTTCACCCTCTTTCTTTAAGGTTGCTTGCCTTGTTTCTTGAAAGCATTCTTTATATGCTGTAGGTTAAAGTCCATTATGAGCTATTTGTTTTAAAAATTAATATTCTATGGCTTTTCTAGTTTGAAGAGCAATTTACTTTTCTTTTATATTTTGATAAATTACAATTTATTATTTCTTCTAATATTAATGCTTTTTATGTTGTGTTTCAGAAATGACTGTCAATAGGCTGGGGCTGTAGCTCAGTGACAGAGTGCTTGTCTAGCATGCTGAGGCACAGGGTTCCATCCTCAGCACCTCCTAAAAATAAACAAGTAAAATAAAGGCATTCTATCCATCTACAACTACAAAGAAAATTTTTTCTTTAAAAATATCATTGTCAACCTGCAGTTGAAAATGGTTTTCCTCTACTTCAACTTCTTAAAGTTTTATAATTTATGCAATCATATTAGGGCTTCCATTGAAGTTGACATAATATTCCTATATTGCCTATAAAATATGAACAAAGCTTTTTTTTCTCCCTCATATATTCTGATGTTATTTGTTGACAAGATTTTCTTTTCCCCAGTAAAGTACTTTAACAACTTTTTTTCAATAATCAATTGGCCATATAAGCGTGGGTCTACTCTAGACTCTCAATTGTTTTGCATTTCATTGATTTGTGTATCTTTGTGGCAATAGGGTTGTTTTGATCAGTATAAATTGATAGTATATTGAGAGGTATAAGTCCCTTTTTTTGTTCTTATTTTCCTCATTCTTCTCTTAAATTCCTTGCAGTTGCACTCAGACTTTAGAATTTGTTTGCAGATTTCTGCATAAAATCCTCAGGACATTATGTAGAAAAAAGGGATTGGCTAAAGTCTATATTAAAGAATTAGGAAAGTATCAATAACAGCAATAAAGGAATTGGATGCGAGTTCCTGTAGCCAGCTTGGCAAGGAACACAATGCTTTCTGCTCCTTGGGACATCTTGGTTGCTCCACCCCAGGTGGGCGGATGAGCTGAGGGAAGGGACAGGCCTTGAACCATGCCTTGCAGATGCCCAGAGCCCTGCTGCTGCAGAGCATTGGTAGGCACAGTCAAGGTTTTCCCCAGCTTGACAACAACATGGCAGCAGCCTGTGGGAATCCTGACCCAGAGGGCTGCTTGGTCTCCAGGCCCAATCTTGTCCCACTAGAGGAAGCCGCCACCAAGGACTTGGCATGGTGAGGAGAGTGGCAGCGGTAGCCCTGGAGCTCAGCCAGCTGCGACCCATGGAGCCCGTGCAGATCTGGGCCCTGCTTGACCTGTCTGGGCACACAATCAGGAGAAAGGCCTTAAGGATTCTGGAAGGTGATGAAGCCCGGTCCATGGTGGTTGGTCCTGGTTCTACCCAAAAGAGAAACTGTAGAGGGACACTCCACATTTGCTGATTGCAAGTGCCCACTACCCTTTGGAAGAATTACTCCCCTTTTGTAGGAGGCCTGTGTCTATAATAAAAACAACAACAACAACAACAAACCTGCTCTCAACTTTCCTCCCAACTTTTAAAAGAAAAGGAAAAAGAGAAAAGGACTGTGAGAAGGAGAAGGTCATGTGCCAGACTGCTGGTATGTAAGCCATTTTTTTGTATTAGAATCATTGTTTTGTGTGTGCATTTTATTCCCCTGTACTGTGTGTAGAGTTGACAATGCTAAGTTTTTGAAATATGTGGTCTTTTTAGATGTTCTAAAGTGACTGATATATGTTAAAAGTACAAATGTTAAAATATGCCACATTTTGTGCATTTTTTTTTGTTAAAATTCTTATGAAATTATTTTTTGGAGGGTGGCTACAGCCAAATCCCCTATTGAGTACTAGGCATTGTGTGCTGGTTCTCCACAGCACCATGCCAGTATGCTTATGATGAGAGAAGAATAACCATTGCTCCTTAAGTCTATGCATTTTGTGTCACTTTGCTGTGTGCTTAGTGTATATAAAGGACAAATGAGTACTAATATACACCTAGTCTTTTGAGATATTAAAGAGATCACCAGTGCATGACAAAAGTAAATTAGTAGACAAATTTTTATGCTTTATGTAAAAATTTATGAGAAAGATTGTCTTCTGAAATTTTGAGCATTATAGCTCATTGGGTCCATGAAAGACCAGAATGCTAATATTTTGAGGACACTTGCAAATTAGAATTATTGTTATATGTGTGCAGTTTATTAAATACTGTGTGCATAGTGGACAAATTGAGTCCTTACTTAAAACCTCTAATCTATCTAGATGTTTAGAAGTGCACAATGGAAAGGTAAAATATCACTTTGTAAATATCTTTACTAAAATTTTCATGAAACATTGTCTCTTGGGAATGTGACTATTAAACCACCTCTGAACAGTATACTGTCTTTACTTGTTCATTGGGTTGAGGGAGGTGAGAGGGAAGAAGTTGAAAAAGGTATTCCATTAGAGTGTGCTAGAAATTTTCAACTTCCCCATTGCCCTGGTATGTTACATGGATTTCATTTAACTTTGCTATACTGACTGAATATATTGGGTATATTCTGCCCAATGGAGTCCTAATTTTATAGTATCTAGTCTCTATGTATTAAAAATGTTACCAATGTATCACAAAAATAGAGCTAGTAAACTAAAACATCTGTACACTTTATGTTAAAATTCATAGGCAGTATTCCTTTCCTCTTTTTTTCTTTTTTAATTTCAAAATTTTTTGTTTATTGGAATTAAATCTGTTTTCACATTAGAATTATAGTTTTTCTTTTATTACATTTATTTTATTTTGAAGTTTTTTTATTAGTTGCTCAAGACAATCATATATTTGGTTCAAATGGGGTATGAATTCTCATTTTTCCACATGTACAGATTGCAGGATCACATTGATTGTACAGCCATGTATATACATTCAGCAATACTAGTGTCTGTTGTATTCTGCTGCCCTCCCTATCCCCCCTCCCCTCCCCTCACCTCTCTCTACCCAATCTACTGTGACACATTTCTCTCTCTGTTTTTTTTCTTCCCCCTCACACCATCATATATGTATTTTGTATAACGATGAGGTTGTCCTTCCATCTTCCATGCAATTCCCCTTCTCCCTCCCATTCCCTCCCACCTCTATTCCCTGTTCAGTGGTAATCTTCTTCTCATGCTCTTCCTCCCTACTCTATTTTGAGTCACCCCCCTTATATCAGAGAAGGCATTCGGCATTTGTTTTTTAGGGATTGGCTAACTTCACTTAGTTCTGCTCTAATGCCATCCATTTCCCTGCAAATGCCATGATCTTGTTTTTTTTTTAGTGCTGAGTAATATTCCATTGTGTATAAATGCCACATTTTTTTATCCATTCATCTATTGAAGGGTATATAGGTTGGTTCCACAGTCTAGCTATTGTGAATTGTGCTGCTATGAACATTGATGTAGCTGTGTCCCTGTAGTATGCTCTTTTTAGGTCTTTTGGGTATAGTCCAAGAAGGGGAATAGTTGGGTCAAATGGTGGTTCCATTCCCAGCTTTCCAAGGAATCTCCATACTGCTTTCCAAATTGGCTGCACCAATTTGCAGTTCCACCATCAATGTACAAGTGTACCTTTTTCCCCACATCCTGGCCAGCACTTGTTATTGTTTGACTTCATAATGGCTGCTAATTTGTATTTCTCTGATTGCTAGAGATAGTGAGCATTTTTTCCTGTAATTGTTGATTGATTTTATGTCCTCCTCTGAGAAGTGTCTGTTCAGATCCTTGGCCCATTTGTTGATTGGTTTACTTGTTTTGTTGTTGTTGTTGTTGTTTAACTTTTTGAGTTCTTTGTATACTCTGGAGATTGGAGCTCTATCTGAAGTGTGAAGGGTAAAAATTTGTTCCCAGGATGTAGGCTCCCTATTTACCTCACTTATTATTTCTCTTGCTGAGAAAAAACTTTTTAGTTTGAATATGTCCCATTTGTTGATTCTTGATTTTAACTCTTGTGCTATAGGTGTCCTATTAAGGAATTTGGAGCCCGACCCCACAAGATGGAGATTAGGGCCAACTTTTTTTCTTCTATTAGACTCAGAGTCTCTGATTTGATTCCTAGTTCCTTGATCCATTTTGAGTTAACTTTTGTGCATGGTGAGAGAAAGGGATTCAATTTCATTTTGTTGCATGTGGATTTCCAGTTCTCCCAGCACCATTTGCTGAAGATGCTATCCTTTCTCCATTGCATGCTTTTAGCACCTTTGTATAATATAATATAATAGGATTTTTGGAAGTAAAATTGTCATCACATCACATCCAAGTGACATATGTGCTTATGTCACATGTGACATAGGAGAGAAAGAAATGGAAGAAATAAAGGATTCTAGGCCAAACTGCTCCTATTTAGAAGATTCTTTCAGATATATGTATTCTTATATGCATGTAGTTTATTTAACACTACTGTGTACATAGTGGACAAATTTAAATCCTTATTTAAAACATCTATGTTTCTAGATGTTTAGAAATATACAAAGTAAGTTAACAATAGAGGTAGTAAATAAACCATTTTGTAGATTTAAAAAATTAATTTGATCCATAAACATGAAACACATCTCAATATATTTAGGTATTTATTTTATTTGAGCTACCTTTTATAGTTTTTATTTTATAAATCATTCACATCTTATATAAATGTATTCCTGTATATTATGCATTGTAAAAACATTATGAAATGATTTTATTTTCATTTGAGTATTTCATTCCTTCTCAATAAGAACAGAATTATTTTATGTATGTTAATCATACATCTTTAAACATGAACAACTGTACATAAATCTCACATTTTACAGGTTGCTAAAGATTTTCTACAGTTATGTTTTGTGTATGTGTTTTCAAACTTATTTTCCTTTAATATTGCATTGGCTATTCCCTACAGTGAGATGTAGAGTAATAGCTCTGCTTCGTTACTGAGCTTAAGGGAAAAATATCTAATCCTTCACCACAAATATGTTGTTAGTGTTATGTTCTCTTGAGGTGTTATCTGTTCAAAAGTTTCCAATTTTTGTATGCCAAAAATTTTAAATATGATTTGACATAATATTTTGTCAAGTAATTATACTGTGCTTGTAGAGATTATTGTTTTTCCTCTAACCATGTTAATATTGTGAATTACCTTGATTTTCAAATGATAAGCCAACTTTGAATACCAGGCTAAATTCCAGATTGTTCTGATTGCATTGTTTGTATACTTTGTTGACACTTATTTTCTAAATTTAAAAAAAAATAGTTGTAGATGGATGTAATACCTTGATTTTATTTATTTATTTTTATGTGGTGCTGAGGATTGAACCCAGCGCCTCACTGGGCACTTGCCTAGGCAAGTGCTCTACCCCTGAGCTACAACTGAAGCCTCTGATTTTCTAAAATTTAGTTAAGAATTTTTGCATCCATTTTTATTTGGGTGTTAATCTGTATATTTCTTGTGTTTATTTGCAAAAGTTTTAATAATCATAGTAATTCTGACTTAAGGTATGAAAAATTTTCACACCTACTTAATTTTCTGGAAGTGTTTGCATAAGAATTCTGATATCTTTTTCTTTAAATGTTTGTTAAATTTTACCAATGAAACTATCTCAGCTAAGAATAAAATGACTTTGTAATGCCATTACATATTGTGGTGTGATTCCTGCATTTTATGTTCCATTTCATGATCCTGTGTCTATTTAATATCTTGCTATCTTACTTCTGTTGCTTTGTAATAGACTGTGATCTCTCACAAAATAACTCCATTAATTCTAACCTTGGTCACCAAATCACCTTTGATACTTGTTTCCATTGTTTTATATACTTTTTCTTTTACTTTTTTCACATTTATTATTGGTGCACTATAGTTGGACATAATAATGGGGTTTGTTGTTACATATTCATACAGGCACATGATATAATCATATAATTTGGGCAATGTCACTTCCCCAGCACTTCCTCCATTCCTTCCCACCTCACACCATCTGGTCCCTTTTCTCTACTGATCTATCTTTGATTATCACTAGATCCCTACATTCTCCCCATGCCATTCTTTTTCTTTTCCTCTCTAGCTTCTATATTTGAGAGAAAAAATAAAACCCCTAACCTTCTGAGTTTGGCTTATTTCACATAACATAGTGGTCTCAATTTTTATCCATTTTCTTGTAAATGACATAATTTCTTTTTCTTTATGGCTGAATATAATTCCATTGTGTGTGAGTGTGTGTGTATGTATGTGTGTATATATCATATTTTCTTTAACCTTTTATCTATTTTGGAAATGTAGGCTGATTTCATATGGTGGTTTCATGCCTAGTCTTTTGAGGAACCTTCATACAGATTTACATACAGTTGTACTAATTTACAATCCCACCAACAGTATAAGTCTTCCTTTTTATCCACATTCTCTCTAGTGTTTGTATTCTTCATGACTCCCATTCTGACTGGTATGAGATGAAATTTCAGTGTAATTTTCATTTGGATTTCCTTAATTGCTAATAATGGTGAACATTTTTTCACATATTTGTTGTTAATTTGAATTTCCACTTTTGAGAAGAATCTGTATAATTCATTTGGCCATTTATTAATTGGGTTATTTGGGTTTTTGGTGAAAAGATTTTCGAGTTCTTTTTATATTCCAGATATTGATGCTCTATCAGAATAGTAGCTAGCAAAGATTTTCTACCATTATATAGGTTCTTTTTTCACATACTTAATCATTTCCTCTGTTATGCAGAAGCTTTTTAATTTGATGCCATCTCATTTATTAACTCTTGACATTATCCTGAGGTTTAGAGGTCCTATTGAGAAAGTTGTTGCTTGTGCCTTCAGGCTGGAATGTTGACCCTAGATTTCTTCAGGAGTTGCATAGTTTCCAGTCTATTCCTAGTTCTTTGACAGATTTTGAGTTGACTTTTGTGCAGGGCAAGAGATAAGGGTCTAGTTTCATTCTTCTACATAAGGGATAACCAGTTTTCCCAGCACTTTGTTTAAAAGGCTGTCTTTTCTTCAGTGTGTACTTTTGGGCATCTTTGCCAAGGATCATATGACTGTAAATGTGTGGGTTTGTCTCTGTGTCTTCTATTCTGCACCATTATTTTATATGTATTTTTAAATGTTTATCCTTAAATAAATAAAATTATTAATAAATTAATAAATAATAAGAAATTTTTATTACTATTGTTTTTTGAGTGGCAAATTAGAATTGCATACATTTATAGTGTATGATGTGTGAAGTTTTGATATACAGTGTAGCTTAATTAATTGAAACTAATTATCATTTTTATCAGGTTATTTTCTTATAATTTTTATGGTGAGAGATTTGAAATTAATAAGTCATTTGCAAAAACATTAGACATTATTGTTGTCTATAGATACCTGATATGCAGTAGATTTCAAAACACATTGCTCATGTTTCTCTGAAATATTGAACCTTTTAATGAACTACTCACCACCTTACTTCCACTCCCACAGCCTCATTCTTTTCTCCTTATTTGAGTTTGACTTTATTAGATTCCACATATAAGTAATATCATTGTGCTTATCTTTCTAGGCATGGCTTAATACTTAGCATAATGTCCTACATTCATCCATGTTGTTGTAAATAAGAGGGTTTCCTCCTTTTGGAACATTAACCAGTATTCCATTGTGTATATGCCATATTGTCTCTAACAATTCATTTGTTGGTAGACACGTTAATTGTTTTCATTTTTTGGCTGCTCTGCATTGGGCTGCAGTGAACATGGTAGTGCAGATATCTCTTTGATATACTTCTTTCCTTTCCTGATAGGTATACAAAGAGCCATTTAAAAATATTTAATTTTATGTGTATGAGACATAAAATATAATTGAAAATCACCTATTTAAGTTGCTTATACCAATTTATACATTTTAGATATTTATTATAAGTTTTCTATTAATAATTAATCACATATATCATCATTCTACCTGTAAATATTGGTAGATTTCTTTTTTATTAATACATTTTTTTCATTCTTGGCCTTAGAATTCTGGTACAATTATGAATAAGAATTTGTAGCATAACATATCCCTTCAGTACAGAGGAATAGCTTCCTTTTTCATCATTATGTTTATACCAGGTGTTTTTCCATGAAGATATTTTTAATTCAAAGAAAGAATGAGGCTACTTATTTTGTACCATTCTGAATGTTTTTCTTCAACTCCATTGTGTCCTTTGATGCATAAACATATATTTTATTATGAGAATTAAATTTCAGAGATGTATATGTGTATCAACATATGTATAATGTATATATATAATTTTATTTGGAGAAATGATCTTGATATCTTGCCCAGACTTGCATTGAACCCTTGAGCCATAGCACCAGCCAAACATTATGTGGTTCATGATGGAAAATTTATTGATGTGAAGAAAACTGTAGCTTCTCACTGAAATCACATAGAAAATATAATAACAATGCCTACATTTTTATTTAAAATAATACAGAAAGAAATACTTAAAGAAGGAAAAAGAAAGTCCAAATAAATCTTTTTAATTTTCAAAAGATATTGATTCTTTGAAATAATAGTTTTAAGTACATATTGAATGTTACTTGAAATAAGCTTTAAAACTCTTAAGTATGAAAATGTTTGATTCAGAAATGATATGAGAACAGAATTGTGAGCCAAGGAAGAATTTTAATTATGATATCATTGAAGCAGTGTTTTAATTGATGCCCTAGAGATCTCTGAATTTTGGGTGTTGCTTAAAAATTTTTCAGTTGTGAAATGAGTGAAGCAGTCTATACCCTGAGCTCATTAGTACATGAATAAAACCAAGCTACTTTCCTCCTTTTATTGGTCATAAATGATTTCTCCAATTGGTGTTGGTGTGTGCTAAGGGAGAGGTGCTGTGGGAACATTAGAGAATGTGTAGGAATCTGGATTACCTAATCATAAATCTTCATTGTACCCCCAGTCTTTGTACATGCTTGATTTTATGTGCACCACTGTTATTTTATGATGGATTGTTGCTGGTGGTATCCAACCTTTTGATTTGGTGAGTATATCTAGCTCCTGAGCAAATGTTCTAGTATAGAGAACTTGATGTTTTGTATTCAGAACCTAACAGCATGTCTGGAGATTTTTAAAATGGTCTATTATTCTGTGCCATGGGTGGTATGGCTTTGCTTTAGCACCCTTGAATACTATTTTGTGATTGTCGTTTCAGTGTGTGTCATAAATACTGTATGACCTCTTGCTTTATCATAGATTTTTACCTAACATTCTACATTTTGTCTAATATCTTGGCTTAAGCAACATATTTATGTTCCCTATAGCTTGCATCTTATTAAGAATCTTTCTCTGACCCATTAGCATTCAAAGTAGCCAAAAAGTTAATGTTCCTTTCTAGACTTGTAAATTAGTGAAGGCAGGATGTTCAAGTATAGAGTGTATTAACCAGGAGAGCTATTCTATGTGTTGCATTTATTCTTTTATTTGGAAAATAAAGAAGATATAATTTATTTTGTTCTTTACTTTGGACAAAATGCTCAGTTGCCCCCCTAGGCATCTGAGTATTTCCATCCATGAGGCAAGGTTGTATAACTTTTCCTTTTAGTTTGTCTAAAACCTTATGTATCTTCTACATTCCATTTGCCTTCTGAAATATTCCCCCGGTTTTTACATTCTTTGAACAACCACTCTGACAACACAAATGTCAATATTGTAGTACAACACTGTGATTATATTTGGCAATTTGAGATGTTACAGTCTTTGGACTATTATAATGGGGATAGGGACAGAGGATAATTCATTTGGTTTCTATTTTATGATTGTTTTCCTCTATGAACATAAACTGGTCTTGGGCATCAATTAGGGGCAACAATAGCAACTCACTTCACTTTTCAAAAATGTCACAGGATTACTAACTTCATGCTAAAATGAAATATTGCTTCAAGTTTGTTGTCACTCCAATGTAAGAATTAGAATGTCATAACAAAGAATCACAAGGTACCTTTGTTCTGGCATTATGATTTTAAAAGACCTCATTTACAAGCTAATAACTGATCCATGTCAGAAAGACAAAGAGCTCAAATCTGAAATCATGCCTCTTTGTTGAAGTCGCCCTTTTTTGTCAGAAATTCCAATCAACAAAATCATCACTCCATTATACCTGTACTCAAAGGGGTCATTAAGGATGCATTTCTTTATATACAGCAATTTATGATCAATTTAATTCCTTCTGGCACTTATAGCATGGGCTATCATAAACAAATAGCCTACCAATTATTATTATACATTATCAGGCAGAAGCAACAAACATTGAATTGATTTAAAGGGCCATAGTTCCAAAATCATCGTTATATGTTTTTTTTCTGTATGTAGTAAGTCTTTTTACTAAGGCTATTTTTTAATATTTTCTCTTTATTACTAGTTTTGAGCATTAGATTATGATGTATCTCAGAACAGTTTTCTTCATATTTCTTGTTCTTGGAATTTGTTGAGCTTATTGGGTCTATGAATCATAGCCTCTGCCTGGCTAGAGGGAACAGGCATTGTGCCTACTCTCATGTGGATGCTTGCAGTTATTATCTCTATGCTCTTTGGGTGGCTCATATCCCAGCTTCAAGTAGTTGTCTCACATGTGTGTTCTAATCAATACTGTACTGAATACAGGATGGTGCTCTCAATATGCACCAGTATCTTCTTCATTACACTGTCCTGTAAATTCTAGCTGCCTCACTTAATACTAATTCTCAGCTACTCAGAGTGTCCATCAGCCTTTTCCAGATTTTCCTTTCCTGATTAATAGTAAGGAAATTCTCTTAAAATTATAAGTTTGAGTGAATATAAAGTTCATATGGTTTCATTCCTATGTCTTTAGGAGCAGTGATCTTCACTGATTGCTTTATGTTTGGTTGTTTCAGGAAGGGTAGTTGAGTCTGGGTCTTCCTATCCCATTCTGATATTTCATCAATGTTGTTGCAATTTCTTTTAGGAAATAAACAAACTTTATTTTTACCGGCTTTTTAACATTAAAAAATTAAATCATATTGAAGGACCTCAAGGCCCCAGGCCCAACATTAGGAAATCCAGCCCCTGTGCCTTGAAGCTGCAGGATGCTTTCTTACCCAGCCCCCATGTCAAAACCCCACCAGTTGCACATAGCATTTCAAGTCTTGCACAGTGGCAACCACAAGATGTTCCATATAGATAACCCCGGGAGGGCCAAACTTGAGCAAAAAAAACCAAGTTTACCCCCCAGGTGACCCTGCTGCTGGATTCAGGGAAACCAATAGAAAGGCTGCTGCTGTGCTAAGCTGAAAACTAACCCCCTGCTCCCTATAAAAGATCTGTGCCCCAGAGCCCGGTGTGCCAGTTCACCGAAGCTCCGGCTGAGGTTTCGCTGAGCACCCGCAGGCGCCTGTGTATCAATAAACTTGCCTCTTGCTTTTGCAGCCAGTGTCTCGTGTGGTTCGTTCCGGGTTTGGGATCTGTGGATCTTTCATTTGGAGGTTCCACCGAGATCCAAGATCCCGGTTCCGATCCCGATCCCTATCCGGAGGACACCCGACATCACTGGGAGGTAAGCTGGCCAGCTCGAGCTGTCTATGTCTAACCTGTTGTCCTGTTGGTTATCTGTTTTCTGTTTTGTGCGGCGTCTGAAAGACTATGCATAGTCACTTAGTATTCTGATTCTGAAGCAGTTCCGTGATCACTCAGGTTTCTGAGGCAGACGGGGAAGGAGTTGACGAACTCGGACTTCACCCCTGCCACCCTGGGAGACGTCCCAGGGATCAGAGGGGTCCATTTCTTTGGGGCCCCCGGTGTTTCCGAGGGATACACCACTTTTGTAGGCAACGGAGAAGCAGTTTCTCCCAGGCCATCTGTTTTGTAGGCGACGGAGAAGCAGTTTCTCCCAGGCCATCTGATTCTTTCGGTTGGTGCTGAAGCCGCGCAGCGTTCTTTGTGTTTTATGTCCTGTCTGATTCATATCTGTACTTTAGAGATGGGAACCAAATTTTCAGTCACAAATTTTGACACTCTCAAGGGGACTTTTAAGGAGTCCCCACTCTGCTTTCTTGGGGAAGCCTAGCACTCGAAACAACTGCAAGCAGAGGATAAACTTTTTGGGAGCTGGCTACTAAAAAGTTAAAAAAAAAAAGCCTAATGCCTAAGGTCAAACCAAACTGGAGGAACTGATCCTGTGGGTGAAAGATGGGATTAAGGGACTCCCAGCAGCTGCCAGAGCCATTTAGCTCTGGGGAGTTCCCTGGGTCCTTATCTACATCTTAAGGATTACGCCACCTCTGTTTACTTAAAAAGAAGGGACACTGAATGCAGTAAAGCCAGTCACACTGAGACCCTTGATTTTACACCTATAGTTGCCCCTACGTGAAAACATCTGGTCCACTCATGGGAAAGTCTATGGTGCCACTGATAGGAGTCATAATTAAATGAAAGTTCAAAACCTGGAGAGATATTTTCTTATCTGGTTGTCTGATTGTTTCTTAAAGATGATCTAGGTTAAATGTGTGTCTAAAAAATAATTTTTTATTGTAACAATCTGGTATCTGAATGGGTTTCTAAAGCATTGCACTATCTTGCAGTTAAAAGTTGGGTTTAAGCAATTGTTTAGTTTGATTTCAGATAGTTCATGCTAGAAAACTTAAATACTTGGAATAAAAAAAAATTAATTAAAATTAAAGAGTTTCAATTTTGAACTGGGTAGCCTGAAAAGAAATTAAAACGTTGGTCTGGCTCATAAAAATGACATTAGATAATTAAATAGCAATAGTCTTAAAAATTTTCAAAGCTTAATTTCAGATATATATGGTAATACGTGGGCAAATTTAATGTAACTCAATGCTACTTTAGAAACTTCAGAACTAGCAAAGTGACTTAGAGGTACTAAAAAATTTCTTCTGATGGTAGAGATCCTATTTCCAGTTTTATGTGAACAAGTTTTTCTAATGTAAAAAGATAAAATTTTAAATTTTGAAAATTACTTCTTAAATTTGTATTATAATTTTCAACATCTAAAACCTGGAAATATAACTTAAGGTTAAAATGCCTTAGGCCTAAAGTGTCTGCTCAAAATAGCAGTTCCTGTCCTCAAAATTAAGCTTATAAGTTTCTCTAGGTGTTCAAAAAGGCCCTAATAAAATGTTAACTCTGCTTAAATTTAGAAGTTTACAAATATTGTTTCAAAATGTGAACAAAAAGAGGTTTATATAATTATGGTGTTATTAATGTGTTCATATCTTCCAGGTATACAAGTCTGTAAGGTAGAAGCTTCAAAAGAACATTATATCAAGCTGGTGTTCTAAAGTTGTATGGTAATTTTAAATTTTGACCTCTTGTAGAAAAGTAGTAATGTACTTTATTGCAAAACACAGGAGTGCATTGCTGCTTTTCTATAGGAGGTTAAAAGCTTTCAGCCTTTAATTCATGTTTTAGGTGTGATATTATGTTGTGTTAGCTAATGTTCATGTAAACTTGAACAACAATTTATGTAAACTTTATAAAATGATCAGCTTCAGAACTATAGTACTTGAGATTTATAAAGAGCCCTGCCTTACTTGAGATAAGGCTCTGTCCCATCTCACTACATGTAAAAGTGGCTATAAAAAAGTAAGCCAGATTTCAGTACAGTTAAAATTGTGTCCAAAAATAGGTTTATGCCAAGATTACTAGGATCTCAAACAGAAAATTATGATGTATAACCCTGCTAGAATTCAAGGTAGCTATTATATAAGCTAAATATGTTTTTACCCTAGTTAGTTTTGTTTTAAAATTTACTTATAGATGGTTTAAGGATTGCCTGTTAATGTCTTAAAAAGGTATTGCTTTAAGAACACAACCTGGGCCAACATAAGATAAGAAGTTATCACCTACAGGATAGAGAGATAAACATTAAAGCCCAGTGCTCTTAATATAAGGCTGTTAACTTATTTGCTGGATGTTTAAGATCAAGTTTTTAAAATTAATTAAATTAAAAGGGCCAAGAAAACCAATATTCGGCTCTTGCCCTCTGAGTCAGTCTGAATCAGGGAATAGGGGACTTCTCCAAAGGGCTCAGCAACTCTAGGCCACATAACCTCCTGAGCAGGGAGATTAATGAGACCAATGGAGGACAGAAAGCCAATCGGTGCATTTGCTGTAAAGAGAAAGGTCATTAAAAAAGGGAGACATCCCTGATGCTTCTGAGGGAAGCCATATGGTCAAGCAAGGCCTGGGCCCATCCTAGCGCAAATGGCACTAGCAGAACTGAAAAGCTGCTATGAAGTTCCCGAGGACTCCCAGGATAATTCAGCTGACTGTAAACAATAGGTAGAAACAAAAGTCAGTTTGACTTGCTTCATCTTAAACACTTAGCAAAGACAGTAAAAGCCAAAGCACAGCTGTTCCTAAACATCTTAAATAATAATAATAATTAAATATAACTTCCATAAATAAGTAGACTAGAGGCTACAAGAAAAAATTCTTAGAAATGCCCGATAACTGTCAAAGGGACTACTAGAATAGTTTTAGTTTAAGGCTTTTATTTCTAGCCAACGCAGGTAGACTTGATGTTTGCTAATATGGTTATCCAGCCCTAAGTAGCAGAATTAAAGATTTCTCTATTAGAAGGTTCTCTTAAAAGCTCGCAAAAATGTGCCAGGGGATGACGGGCGCCCCACCCAACTCACAAATTTGATTAATGAAGCTTTTTCTTCAACCCGGCCAAACTGGGACTATGCGACTGAAGCAGGTAGGAACCACCTACGTCTCTATCGCCAGTTACTCATAGCGGGTCTCCATGCAGAACCATCAGGAGACTTTAACGCTTGAAACTGGCACTAGAGACTGGGTACAACTCCTACCTTTAGCCTTGTACCGGGCCCGAGACACCCCAGGCCCACAGGGACTAACCCCATTTGAGATTCTGTACGGTGCACCACCACCCGCTGTTAACTTTTATGAAACTGAAACCTATGCCTCCCTCACCCCATCTATGCAGACTCATTTGCATGCTTTGCAATTGGTCCAGAATGAGGTCTGGAAGCCTCTAGCCGCAGCATACAAGGAGGAACTTAAAACCCCCTCGCTGCCACATCCCTTCAAAGTTGAAGACACCGTCTGGGTACGCAGGCACCAGAACAAGAACCTCGAACCGCGGTGGAAAGGACCCTACACCATTCTGCTGACCACTCCCACTGCAGTCAAAGTGGACAGCATCGCTGCTTGGATCCACGCCTCCCACGTGAAAGCTGCACATCCACAGGAGTCCACAGGCACCTCTCCGGATCCAGAATGGAAGTTACAACGCACTCAAAATCCACTAAAGATAAGACTCACACGCTGTTGATTTTCCTTGCTTTGTGCTTTGTATTTCCCCTAACGGTTGCTAATCAAACTGTGAGCCAGACATGGCAAATATTATCGGGGACAGGAGATATAATTTAAAAACAAACATCCACAAAATACCCCCCTTTGGGCTTGGTAACCTGCTCTAAGGCCTGATCTTTGTTACCTGCTGGCTAAGGCAAAGGACTTTGATGACCCCAGTGAGGCAGAAGCATGCGTCTACAGTGGACGCTGCGCCTGCGTAAAACATCCCACAGGGTGTAGAGCAGCTCTAAGGGAGACACCCTTCTACATATGCCCTAGGGATGGAAAAACCCAGTCACAGGTACAAAAATGTGGACAACGTGAAAGTTACTATTGTAAATCTTGGGGATATAAAACTACGAGGGATATATGATGGAAGCCAGGTTCATCTGGGGATTTAATACAAGTAAAAAAAAAAAAGGACAAGAGCCCGCACTATCTTCCGACTCCTGTAGGAGCCTGAAATGGTACGGGGCAGGGCCATGCTCCGCGTTTGCCTGCAACCCCTCAAACATTACCTTTACTCAGGCAGGCAAGACATCAAAAAAGAAAAAAAAAAAATGGGGCCTAAAAATGTACTTCAAAAATGCCTACGACCCTGGGGTCCTATTCAAAATTAGGCTAACTACTATATTATCTACTGTAGCTGGCCCCTTGATTATATTACTGTTAATTTTAACCTTTGGACCTTGTATATTCAACAAATTAATGCAATTTATGAAAGAAAAACTGTCTGTAATCCAAACTATGGTCCTCGCGCAGCAATATCAAGTACTCCCACAGCACCCTGAGCCATCAGCTGAGCTAGTGCCGGACTCTGAGCAGGTAGATCAATGGATATAGGATTATATCCCGGATAAAGAAAAGGGGGGAATGAAGGACCTCAAGGCCCCAGGCCCAACATTAGGAAATCCAGCCCCTGTGCCTTGAAGCTGCAGGATGCTTTCTTACCCAGCCCCCATGTCAAAACCCCACCAGTTGCACGTAGCATTTCAAGTCTTGCACAATGGCAACCACAAGATGTTCCATATAGATAACCCCGGGAGGGCCAAACTTGAGCAAACAGGGAGAAAACAGGAACCAAAAAGAGCAGGGTGCAATTTTATGGTTTCTCTGAGAACAAAAAGTTAAAAAAAAACAAGTTTACCCCCCAGGTGACCCCGCTGCTGGATTCAGGGAAACCAATAGAAAGGCTGCTGCTGTGCTAAGCTGAAAACTAACCCTCTGCTCCCTATAAAAGATCTGTGCCCCAGAGTCCGGTGTGCCAGTTCACCGAAGCTCCGGCTGAGGTTTCGCTGAGCACCCACAGGCGCCTGTGTATCAATAAATCGCCTCTTGCTTTTGCAGCCAGTGTCTCGTGTGCTTTTCCTTGGACAGGGAGTCGGAGGGTCTTTCAATATTAGCTATAAAACAAGAATAAGCATCCCAAATGAACAATACATGATGCAATTTTTTGATGACCTTGCATGCCCTTGTCATTTATTCATTTATACTAGCATCTACCTTATTTTTCATTTTAAAATCCCACTTTTCCATTTCCTCACAAATCAGGGTATTACTGTAGTTATAATTTTGCTTCTTATTTCCTGAAATGAGACATCATTATAGAAAATTACTGATGCATTTGCTGATATCTGTACCTCTGGATAGATATATTGAAAAGTGGTATCTTTCTTCATGTTCACCAATTAGCCATTATGAAACTCCTACTTACTCTAAGCAGATAGTAAGTTTCATTAAAGGAAACTAATGAATATATTTTGAGCACACTAAAATTATTTAATTATTAGGGAAAGAAAAAAACAGTTCCAATATGATTGGCATATCCTGCTCATGATAGATTTGACTGTAAAAATCTTTCAGAAATTATCTTTAAGGAATAATGAAATTAGCCAACAATTAAGTTGTCACTTCTTGATTTCTGTAAAGATGAACAGATGTTACACTAATTTATCATCAGTGCACTCTTAGAATCATTGAATTACTAATGCATAATAAGGTTTTATCCTGGGGAATGCTTAGAATGAATATAATCCTTAACTAGAATGTTATGCTACATTTTATAGAAAACTGTACAATATGTCAGACTTATTGAAATCATAATAGTAAAGTCTGTGTAGAATAATTCCTTTATCTTGACATGTTTGGTTGAACTAATATTAATGTAAAATGGTTTCTTTTCACATAGATTTCAAAAAATAATTTATTTAAAAACCAGTTCATAAATTTAGGGTCTATAACAATAGAACTTCCCATTTACTTTTTGTTAAATTTTCCACCTTCCAGTTTGAATATTTAAGTGAGTATAAAATAATTAACCAGTGCACCATGGAATCTGTAGCTCATAATATTAGCTGAATCTTATTGACCTGTAGATAATCATATTTGTTATTGATTTTTGCATAAAAATGTATTATGTAAATTATATGCTTTAAATGACAGAAATTATCATGGAAACCATAATTTAAGTATTTTTTGACTTACCTGAATTGATAAGGAAAATGTTTTTTATCTTTCATTATTGCCAATACTTTTTGTGAATCAGAAATTTCTGTCTCAAAGAGTGTGTTTTGCCCATAATTACTACAGTTTTCTTAAGATTAAAGACTTTTACAGAACTCTGAAGAACATGGATTAAAGACCAAGTTTAATTTTTTTTTTTTGGTCAGTACTAAACATGGAACATCAGTATATGTTTTACAATAAGCTCCATGTTCTGAGTACGTTCTTTTGGGACTATATTTTACTAGTGAAGATATTAGACTTTTAATGTAATATAATACATTATTTTAGAACAAAAGAGTTCATCATTTTATTCCTTTATCTCCAAGTCATTGAAACTATGAGAGAAAAAATATACATTATAGTAAGGCAAACCTATGACACTGAATTGATGACTTGTTTCTGATATCTTTGTCTTTACTCATTTTTTTTCATATCTTATAATTTCCAACAACTGTTCTATTGGTTATTTATATAGTATATATTTATTTAACATCAGTCTTATGAGAAAGACATTCTCAAGTCCTATTGTGTCCTGGTAAACAAGTCAGATGTATCTCTGAAGAGATATGAAGCTACTATTGTTATAAAATTTAAACTGGTTTGTACTTGTATATGTAGTTGACCACAGAAATCAGAAAGTGATGTTTTTAAATTGAAAATATTTCTTTACAACATTTGATTTGAGCATTCAATTATTATAAAATGTTCCCAATGACATGCTCAGTTTTAAGTCTGCTTCTCAAAATTACCACTAATCTTGCACACAGTATACACATTATTATCAGGTAGTTAGTTACAACAGAATTATATGGGAAACAAGCATTTTAAATAAAAATTTTCTTAAGAATATTTTCAACAATATAAGACATAATTAGTTGCAATTAGAACACAAAGGAATTGTTATGTGTTGCTAACAATTCCTTCAAATGTTTAAATGTAAATAGATCTCCTAGTGTAGGTGCAAGTTGAATATAAAAGGCTCATGTCCTTGTCCTAATATAAGATATGTATTTACCTTCCATTGACTATTTATCAATTAGAATCGTCCATGTGTGCGAATATGTAGGCACTAGTAAATGTTCTTACTTTTCTCCAACCTCGTGATTGAAATTATGATACTCAAAGCTATTTCTTGTTATAATGACTTATTGATGATTTATCTGCAAGTTGAAAAAAACTCATCCAAAGTTCCAACATGATGATATATGATTACTAAATAGCAAATGATCACAAAGATTATTGCAAAATTATATATCTAATCCCATATGTGAATTCAGAATTCACTTTTTCTCATTGTAAAATATTCTTGCAGCAGAACCATGAAATTTTCCAGTCTAATTTATGCTTTGTATTAAAGATGAAACCTTCTAGGTGAGCCCATGAATTTCTAACTTAGGCCAAGATTTTTATTCATATATAAGAATGAAAATTTCATGCAAGGTTAGTAAAATGTGGTCTTAAATTTTTTAAAAATTATTATACATTCATAATAAAAACTGCACATTAGCATATATAATATATTTGATCTATGAATAGTTAACATATACCATCTTGATCTTTTTCTATATTACAAAAATTGATGAAGTTTTTTACTGTCAAAGTGTTGCATAATGGTTTGAATTAATATCTTATATTTGAATGAATATTGACTTTTACTTACTTTGGTTTATTGCCCATTCTCACTAATTATAGTTTTCATTTTTTGAAAAATTACAAGTTAGTTTTATTCTATTTGACATTTCACTCTAAAATTGTGTATAATAAAATATTCAAGGTATTATCCTAACCTCACAAAGCTGGAATTTTGAAGTTATCCTCAAGCATGGTGATTATCTAAAAATGAGATTTGCAAAAGCAGAACAAGACTACCATTAAGATCCTGCAGCCATTATCTCTCCATGAACACACCAATTTCAACAGCTGTTCAGGCATTTAACTACCCTCCCAAGAACTACAGAAACAAGACAAGGGACAACAGTGCATTGTTTTAGTATAACAATAAAAGACACATTGAAGAAGGCAAGAAGAATTTGCTCATATCAATCCTAGGAACATCCTGGTGGAAGAGTGTGGTGAAGAGAAGCGTCTCAAGACATCACACCAGGAAGCAGAAAGAGAAAACTCTATTCAAGAAATATATCCCCAAAGCTACCCCCCAATGACTCATCTTCTTCACCCACACCCTTTCAACCTACAGTCACCAGTTAATCCATATTGGAGGATTAATGCCTGATAGGGTTAAGGCTTTCATAACCCAATCATCTCAATTCTAAACCTTGCATTGTCTCATGAATGAGCTTTAGGGAAAACCTCATAGCTAAACCATAACACTTAGTAATGGTATCTCTTTTCTCTAGTTGCTACCTAAGTTATATATCCCTATTTATTCTTTTTATTGATATTATAGTTTTCTAATACCATATTAACATAATCATTTGTTTCCTGATAAGTCTTGATTAATATGATAATTGCTACCGGGAATGGGCTGGTACTCATGAAAACTCTTGTCTCTAAAGACTTGTATTTTGAATTATGAATAATATTCTGTAGCTAACACCTTAAGCTTTATAGTTCAGTATCCTGATCTCTAAAACACTGTTTATTCCTCCCATTTTTATGACCTTCAGTTCTAACAGCTGTTAAAATGTTTTAACTATGTTTCATTATGACTCTTGTAGCAATAGTAACTAATCCTTGACAGCACAGATTTATAATTCAAAGTAAGAGCCAAACAGCATAGCTTTAATTTGTTTTAAATGCCTGGATAGTACAGTACTGTATTGTATGCTTTGAAGTAATTATACACGTGTAGTTTACTAATGGGCATAGAAGCACTTAAGTTTGCTTCATTTATGAATTGTATTTCAGTACTCATATTCTTTCAGATTAGATGTTGAGAATTTTGTTAGTTAAATGTTAAAATAATAAACATTCAAGAATGAGAATTTATTATTTTCTATAATTACAGAATTAAATAATGTTAAAAATATATGCATTAAAATGTGATGTCAAATGTTGAATCATTTTTTATTCCTGTACAATTACATAGCTTTGACTATTCCAAAAAAAAATCTATGATTTTTAAGTCACTACACATTTGCTGAATGTAGGAATAAAAATATAATATGCAAATGGATTTTATTTTAGTGATAGCTAACATATCTCTTCAAGTAGCGTTATTTTGCTTCATGTTTTGTCTAATTCTTATTTTTTAATGTGTATTGATACTCCCCAGGGCTCTCTTCTCTTTTTCTCTTCTGGAGATTCTCAAGAGGCCTTCAGTGGTTTCGTCTTTCAACAATGAGCATTTAGCAGGATGGTAGTAAAAGCCATGTGGCTGAAACTGATTCCAGGCCTCAAGGTTCATCCTCAATCAACAGTATTACCCCTCCAGGTAAGATTTTTGTGTCCTAAAAGACCTAGTAAATATAAATTTTATGTAGTAGACTCTGTTGGAAAGGTCATGAGCAAGAAGATATTTGTTGCACCCTTTATATCTGAGGATGAACTTATTACTTCTATGGTATTATTAGGGTAGTTCGTTGATGTTGACTCTCTTAATTCAGCACATGATGGAATTGTATTTTTCTGCCTACCATCTATTCCTTGTTTTACAAAGGAAATTTTGTGAAAGACTTCCAGGCAGGAGCTTTAAAACTCACATTGAAATTCAACATAGCATTTTTTCAGTCACTGAAATATGGAACATCATGTCCAGCTATGGTCACTATAATCTATAGACTTGATCTAATTGTGATAATAAGGGCTTTCTTGCAAACTCACAGTGGCCATGCACAAGACAGTGGTACATTTTAAAGGTATGTGTTGACAAAGTAAATTCTAGTCCACCTCTTCAGGAAAACCCCTTGAAAACATCTAGCACATCTTTGATGGATACAGCCTGTGAAACCAATTACAGTAGCCTATCCTTTCTGTGCTTCTAGTACCTATGTTTCCTGTTTGATTGTGAGCTGAATCCTTAGCTTCTTTGACTATTTCCAGAAATGAATGAATGAATCATTTTTACTTCATATTTAGTCCTAAGATAACTTTATCTTTGATCATTGTCTAAGTCATCTTTCTTCTGTGTCTTAGAGGTTAACAAATCAGAGAGGAGAATTAAAGAAAACTTTCAATTTTAAGTTTAGCTAAAACACATACCATACTGTCTTTAGTATTGGTAATAATCACAAGAAATTTTTATACATCACATTTAGTTTCTCTTTTATTTTTTCTCATTAATCCTAAAAAATTATTAGTGCCTAAATATTTATATATTTATATGTTTACATATTACATAAATATCCCTATATATTTCTTTTCAGGAAGATATAGTCTTTCCTTTTTATTAAATGTTTTCAGAATAAAAGATGTTGTGCAGCTTTATACAATAAATAACTGTGTACCCCAATCCTAGTGGAAGAAATGTGAAATTTTGCAAGCATATTCTCATATAAATGTGAGAGAGTTTCTTATGGGCATTTGCTTAGGAGTGAAATCATTGTTGTATGACACACACAGAACTTCATTAATGGACATTACCAACTTGTTCTTCAAACTGGCTCTGCCAATTAACATTTCCTTCAAAACTGAAAGTTTTCATTTTTTTTTCACTTGTTATCATGTAAAATATTGCCAGGATATAAACATGTGTCCCATCTGGTAAGTACAAAAGATCCTTTTGGTGTTTGCATATGCAGATTACTGGTAAATGTAGTGGCTTTTAATTAATTAATTACCACATATTTTGGAGTTACAGGCTTCTTGTTGCTATTATTGTTACTCTTAATAAATTGTTACTCTCGATAAATTGATTACTTGAATTTTATTAGCCTCATCACATGACTATTAGTCAGTACTTACCTAATGTTTTATTATACTTATGTTCTAGATATTTTTAATCTCCATCATCACTAATTATTTTAGCCAGGTTATTTCAATATACATTTGGTGTTTACATGGATATATTCAGAGTTTCAAGGGTCCCCTTAAGAAAAGCTAACACATCCAAGAATGGTGGTGCACAATTAAAATCCCAGCAACTCAGAAGTCTGAGGCAGGAGGACCATAAATTCAAAGTCAATCTCAGCAACTTAGCATAACTTTGGCAACTTAGTGATACCATGTCTCAAAATAAAAAATTAAAGGGCTGGGGGTAATTCATTGGTTATGTAGTTCTGGATTCAATTCCTGTTACGAAAAAAAGAAAAAGAGTTAATGCCCAATGGGTATACACTTGTTGCTAAACAACACTATTTTTATGGCCACTATTACATTTAACATATTTTATTGCATAATACCTCACCCCTGTAAGGTAAGTATCGTTCACGTATGCATTCTAAATTAGCAACATGCCTGGCTGATGTGTGATTTGTTCTTAGATACTCTGATTTCAGAACTCACCCTTCAGAAAACTTTAGGGAATTTTATAATATAGAATATTTATAATACATTAACACCAAGCCAGTTCCAAATTAAAATAAAATGTACACATATGGGGCCATGATAATGCTCAGCCTTCAATCCTTGTCTCAAACAGTTTGAAATTTTCAATGCACTATTGGCCAAGTATGAAAAATTCACATTCACATTCTTCTTTATGGAGAGCTGCACATGGCAAGGCAGCAAAACCTCAAAGTGAACTGTTGCTATGGCCCAGCTGCACTGTAGGATCACCAGTTTGAATTATAGGCCTCATTCACACTGATGAAAAGAAAATGTTCTGAGGTCATAATCAATGCAATTCATGATCAAACATTAATGGTATTCCTGGCTGCTTGGTGAATTAGAAAAATAAGTCAGAATTAAAATAAGGTGAATTGAAGTTCAAGAACTGTTTTTGGTTTTTTTTTTTTTTTGTTGTTTTTTTTTTTTGATTAGCTTCCTCTGAATTCACTGACTAAACATGCAGACCATTACAATACTGAAACTGGATGATTTATCTCCTCTTGGATATGGGAAAGAAATGTATTCTTTTATTGACTCAATCACTATGTATCTTGTTCAAATCTGACCTATGAAATACCACTTGAATATCCAATTAAACTGCTGCAAAAACCCTTCTGGCATTCAATATTTCACATACCTTAAAGAATCTAGCCAGCATCCATGAGTGTTGAGATGAAACTGGATTCACTGCTGCTGCTGGCAGGTGAGGTCTATAAATGCTGCAGGTCTCCATAGCCAAGAAGTGTTCCAGTTTTTAATGGCAGGCCATGCCCTTCACTATTGTAACAGAATCCAGCAGCTCATCTTCAATTTCTTCTTATTTCGGCATTCTGTCTCCTTAAATGGAAAAATAAATCAACAGACAAGAATGAGTGAATGTACTGGTAGGATTTATTGACGAACAGGAACAGAACTCTTGCACCATAGGATCCTACAGTGCTTGTCTAGGGGTTTAAATAGCATCTGGTTCCCTGCCTTTGGTTCATACTTATGCTAATTAGGGCTTGGAAACTTAATTAAATTAAGTTACTATTGATTTAAATTTATGCTAATTAGGGCCTAGAGATAGATGTACTTACACTATTGGCCAATTTTTGAATCCCAAGTTTCATTCAAGTCTGCCCCACTTCAATTTTCTCATGGCAGGTCAGGAAGCAGGAGGTTGAGGTCATGGGAGTGTGCTTCTGCAGCTGGCATTCCAGACTGCCACAGGGTGAGGGATCAGCATAGTCTTGGCTGGTCTTATCACTGGCTAGCTGCACCTTGCCTCTCCAGGGTGTTCCACTCAGCAGGGTGCTCCAACCCACCCAGGTTGCCACTCTGCCTTCCATAGCTCCATTGCTGCCTCTCAGCAGGGACCAGCTGTCTATCTGGGTGACTTGGCAGCCAGGGAGTCTTGTCAATGTGACAAACACTATGATGCAGATGGATTTGCTTTTGTTACCCTTCCTCTGTCAATCTTCAACATCATGTCATACATAGATATGGTACCTGCATAGAATTCCCTCTGACATAAGATGAATCCTTCAACGAAAAGGATCCAGCCTTCTAAAAATCTACTACAAAAATAATGTAGATGCCTGGAAATAATCTCTTTGATGTTGGATTGCTATTCCATCAGATATGCTGTCTCAAGTCAGAATATGCAACCAAAGGAATCAAAGTGTTTAAGGGGAGCTAGTGCTCTTATAAATATATTAAATGATTTATTTGAAGATTTTCTTCTTCTTTTTGCAAATCTGGGCTCTACTTCGGTATCATTTCCTGAATAAACAGATACTGACAGAATTAGAAGAGTAATAGGTCTTAAAGGAGTAATACATATAAAAGGAAGGAGGGAAGAAGCAGATTTGAGCAGCAACCACCTCATATACAATGTGGATCTGGTACCATTTTAGGATCTCCACAGGATAGGTTGGGAGAAATGGTGCTTTTTAAGCAATCTTTTGCTAAGGGATAACTGAAAAGAAAATGGCCTTTACTCAGACATTGTATGTGGATACCCAAAATAGTACTTGAAGGCAGTCAGCTAACTGTACTATTTACTGTTTGCAGCCAAGTGACTTTTTTTTTTGAGTGTGTGTGGATGGTACTGGGATTTTGAATTCAGGGACACTCCTACCACTAAGTTTCATGCCCATCCCTTTATATTTTTTTTATTCCGAGACAGAGTTTTTATAAATTGCCTAGACTAGCCTCGAAATTATGATCTTGTGACTCAGCCTTCCAAATCATTGGTATTATGGGTGTGCCACACCATGCATGACATGACAAGTTTTTTGTTTGTTTGTTTTTTTAAGAGATATTTAAGCATAGAACTTCCATAGCTGGCACTGAGACAAATAGGATAAATATTAACTTGAATATAGCATTCAATATTGGATTGTGACTGGCAACTTGCTATTGGTGTGATTACATTTTAAATAATGGTGGTAGAGTATAATTAGCATTTACAATAAAGTATAGAGAGTTGATTTAATGAATGAGGATAGAAAAGGATAAATGCAAGATATTTCAACTCCATCTTTTGCTCATATATAATGATTAATAGGAATTCCTGAATACCATAAAAACAGGAACTTGTGGAGCTAAAATGGCCTTAGAGTGTAAATATTAGCTTTATTTTTCTTGTCAAAAATCTCTGATCAGAATGAAATTCAATTATGTTATGTGGATGTATGAATATGGCATGATGAATCTCACTAGTGAGTCAGTAAAAAATAATTTTGAAAAATCCCTGACTAGGTAAAATTCCAGTTGAAGTAAAGATAAGCATGGAAATGATTTTGGGGATTCAATCATATATGTGATTTATGACCTGAAATAAATTATTATGCACATGTATGTACATTGCACACATACACATTTGCATAAATATCAGTGTTCTTATACATGGATATTTAATCATGTATTCATCCAAAATTGTCTTTTAGAATTTATGATGTC